TCTTCTTTTCCTCTTTCCCCCCCCCTCTCTCTCTCTCTCTCTCTCTCTCTCTCTCTCTCTCTCTCTCTCTCTCTCTCTCTCTCTCTCTCTCTCTCTCTCTCTCTCTCTCTCTCTCTCTCACTCTCTCTCTCTCCTCTCTCCTCTCTCTCTCTCTCTCTCTCTCTCTCTCTCTCTGTCCTCTCTTTTCTTTTCTCTTCTCATTTCTCACTTCTTTCTTTCTCTCTCTTCTCTTCTTCTTATCCTCTTCCTCTCTCTCCCCTTTCCCTCTCCTTCTCTCACCTCTCCTTCCGCACGCGAACACGCACGTGCACACCCTCCTCCTGCAACGTGTATGTTTTATGAATATGGGTCATGCTAGATGGAGCTTCTATATGGGATACGAGCCTAGTATCTTTTCTTTGTATCTACTGTGACAAGGGAATGTTAGCGTGTCTATAACAACAGTTTTAAATCATTCACTGTCTGAAGGCAGCCTGCTATCACCGGACGTCGCTATGATAACGCCCCCTCCCCATTTCCCCTCCCTTTCCTCTGCCTTCTCTATTCCCCTTCCCTCCCCCCCTCTCCCTCTCCCTTCCTCTGCCTACTCCTCCTCTCCACCCTCTCATCCCTAACCCCCCTCCCCCTCTCATTCTGCCCCTCCCCTCTTCCATTCCTCGGCATCCTCCCCCATTCCCCCTTCCCTTCCCTTCCCCCATCCTCCTCCCCACTCCCTCCCTTTCCACCTCCTCGCAGTGACTAACCTCGACCCCGCCTTCATATTTACAGCATTTCCGTTCTTTTAACACCTTATCAAATGTTACCAACTGTCTAAATATTTATTATCGACTATCTGAAAGGGATTCATATAGTATAAAATATCCTCAGAGGCGATTAGTATACAAATTAAGATGTTTCGGAAGATGAGAGAAATTAAGCACGTTGGCAAGAATGAAGCGAGAGGAAATGTCTTTGTTGTATGGACGATAAAACTATTTTTCTTGTTTTTGTGTTTGTTAAGGAATTTCAACTGTAGTTTTGATTTTTTCCCTTTGCATAGGCCTTGAATCTATACAGTGAAGACATACCCAGGCCTAGAAACTATACGAAATGGTTGTGGTATAGGTGTATTGCAGTGGCTTCGTGTTGCCAACGCCTCACTTTAATATCCATATTAATCACGACTATCGTGAACAAAATCACGCATAAACACACAAAAATCCAAAGGTGTTCCCTCCAATAGACACGAAATGCCAACATAAACAGGAGTACATAAGGGGGAAATGGCTGAACTGGAACGAAATTAAGTATTCACATGGTAACTGCAGCCAGCGTTGGGTTCAAGCTGATTATGGGCTTGACTGAAGGTGGGAGTTGAACCTTTCCTGATACCGGCGGCGGCTGTGGCTCTGGACGGCTCTTATACCGGTGTGCGAGTGTAGACAGAGTTCTTATATAATTTTTAGAGAAGTTTGGACACAGAAGAAACTATGGCAGGTACGTGTTTCGGTTTGGGTATCCTCCCTCCTTTTTAATGATGTCTGTCAGATGTACGTCTATATGAAGTGGGATCTTGAGAGGGTCGTGAGTATCTGGTCCTGTCACGTCTATGAGTCATGCTGATATCTTGCCGTACTTCTCATTTATCTCCTGTCAGATTGCGTTTAGAGAAAGGGCAATCGGTACATGAAAGTCTGAAAGTATAAGAAAGTCACTCAACCGTAGACACAAAGTTCAACACTCGGAAGATTACGAGTTGTGCATAAGTTTAAAAGAGAAACCCGTTTTGAGTTGGCAATGTTTCGCGGAACTGACACCGGATCGCCAAGATAGAGATTACTCGGCTTTTATCATACATAATATTCCACTTCCAAGTTTCTATGGCAAGGGGAAGACCAAGGAAGCAGGAGAGGCAGCTTTCAATAGCTCCCTTGGCGGATATTTGTGTATTTGGCAAGGCATAAACCCGTAAGCTTTTAAAAGCATCTTGGTGTGGGTGGATTTCAAGGCTAGGGAGAAATCAGCTGTTGCTGTGTGTCAAATTCCTGTATGGGCTGGGGAGATTATGTCAGCCCGCCTATTTCCTGGGTCTTCAGCCTTGTGGGAAAGAGGTTTTTGGACAGGAATATGGGCTTGGGGAAGATATGCTTTTTCTTTTCTTTTCTTTTTAGGATTGATCAACTTCCTTGATTTTTCTAGTAGTTATCTTAGTTTAACAGTTGTTCCCTTGTAAGATATGTTTTCAGTAAGAAAATTAAAGGAAATAGATATTACTTTCACATGAAAATTAAAAATGGCTGAGGGTTTCAGTGGTGGACCAAATGATTTTCTTCAGCTTGTTACTGTAAGTAAAATATCAAGTTCGGCTACCTCGGTCACCTCACCTTTTCTTACTGAATGGCAAACGCTGGTGCAGCAATACACCTAACAGCTTTCTTAATGTATTGTTGCAAAAACAATGTCTCCAAGCCCACAGACTAGTTCAAGTAATAAATTAAATAATAGCACCAAAGCTTTTAAGTCATATATTTTGTCAGTCTTTGACTAGCAAACATCCGCAACATATGTTCTCATAGTTTAGAGTTCGGACAGCTTCCATGACAAAATTTGTCCAGGAAGTCTACAAGCTCTATTTTGTCAGGATGTATACAGTGAAGGTTTATAGGCCATTACCAGTGTGCTGATAGGCACAAAAGCCAGGCTTAGACCAGTGGCTAATGCATGGGTAAATTAGTAAAATTAAAAATAGACTTTTATTTATAAATTTGCTCTGCTGGCTTCCTCTTCCATTCCTCAGCTTAAAGGTATATGTGGTAGATAAAAGAATAATACTGCATTTTAAACTGTGTCATGGAGCAAATCCCTATTTTGAAATTAATGATGTTTTGGGTCAGTTTATTATCAATATTTTATCTGATACTAGAATTAGTTTGCAGACAACTTGGAGTATTGTGCTGACTCCAGGGTGTCTACAGACCACACATTATTTCAGTCTACAAATATTGCTATCATTTTTGCACGTCACATTTTTCATCTCAACACACTCGCATCATCACTATTGCCAATTATGAACTTTTACTTTCACATATACCATGATTGTCCCATTTCACAAACATCAGAATATAATAGTAAAGATATTGTTGGGTACAACTGCTTGCATAATGGATTGGAAATTTTTTCCGGTGTAAACAATGGAGGTTTGGTTCATGGTCTGTGGTTTGACTTCAGTTGAGGTGTGAGGTGTTTCTTTCTTGCAAGCAGGCCAGTGATTGTACAGAACTACAAATGTATTTGAAGTACTTCAAATTGTTAAGTGGTATTTTTTGCATATTTGAATTTCTCATTATTCATTTATCTTGTAGTTTTGTCTTGACAAAGTGTCAGTTAAAGATGTTGAAAATTCTGACATGCATGCATACTTACTTGCATACATACATACATACATACATGCATACATATATACATACATACATATATACATATATATACATATACATATACATATACATATATATACATATACATATATACATACTTACATACAAACATACATATACATGCAAATATACATACATACAGATAGACATAAATTCATACATATGTACTTTTATATGCATACACACATATATCTTCTTTCTCTTTGCCTTTTCATGCTTCTGTGCAGGGTCAGCACTGAGTTGTGCTGGCTTGCAACCCCGGGGCTGGGTTGCATACACACACATACATACATTCATGCGTGTGTAGGCACAGACTTGCACTCACACACTCGCACACTCGCACACACTCGCACACACACACACACACACACACACTCGCACACACACACACACACACACACACACACACACACACACACACACACACACACACACACACACACACACACACACACACACACACACACACACACACACACACAGACACACAATCATATTAATGGGTTTTTGATAAACCATATAAACTTTTGGAGGTATTCAGAGTACCATGAAGGGGTTTCATGGCTGTTCCCTCAGTATAGTATGGGTTGAGGATTTTTTCTTTTAACAGCTGTTAATGTTCTGAGCAGTTATTATATCCCTTATTTAATGACTAAATACAAAAGTCCAGGATGTCATTCAAGTCTAAAGTGTACAGTGTCCATTATTTTATGTGGCTTTGTGCAAGGGGCAGGCTTGTAGGAAATCTGAAGAAGCCATTCATATATAAACTGCTCATAAGGTTTCCTGAAAGTTGTTGGCAAAGTGCAATTAACAGATGTAGAGACAAGTGTATTAGTAAGTGACATACTTCTGATAAAGGAATGATAAAAATAGGGGATGGAGCACCTGAGAATAAAAATGGAACTGGCATCTAATGATATGCGAATATTAATTTAGATAGATAGCATGTTCTGTTTCATAAAGTCCAAGGTTTTGCAATAACATAGGTTGAAAGTAAAAATGTTTATATTAACAATATCCATATCATTATGCTATTAGGAAATTTAGAATAGTTTTCCCCTTGTTTCAGTACTTGTAAGTACCTATTTTTTCTTAACATATTTGAATAATTCTTTTAGATATTTGTGTTGGATTCTCATTTTTTTGTTTTGTTCTTTACAAATATGTGATGATTATTTTAATGATTATGGAATACTGTTCCCAATTTTTTCTTGCTTTGATAGTATTTGATTGCAAACTGGAAGAAGAAAACCATGGTATATAAACACTTGATATTATTTTTTATAGGAAATATCCAGCCAGTAGCATTGTATATCCCACTCCTTTTTCTTTGGTTTCTTTGCTTGATATATAATTTCTTTTCATTTCTTATTCTGCCAAATCATGGTTCCTTCTTCTCTGTCTAATAATATGTTCAGTTATATCTGAATTAATTGTTTTTACTCACTGTGTTGGATTTGACCTGCTAAGAAACAATTTTTCAGATCTTGCTTCTGTGTCTGTTATTTTCACAATTATTTTTCATTCTTCTTAACCCTGTCTAATTTCATGTTTATTTGCTTAACTGATTACGCATTTCAGAGCGTCGTCCAGGCTTGATTTGGGGTGGTAGGTGTCTCTTGGATATGGTAAATGCAATTGTGTGTGGCCCCCCTTGCACCCTGCATTTTTAATGCATTTGTCCTTTTCTACATACGGCTTTTATATTTTAAGCACTTCCTCCTCTCCCCCCCCCCTCAAATGACCTTGTATCTAGCTAGATTTTGAGTGATCAGTATGTAGTCATGGCAGATGAGACAGTGAAACTGACTCTACGTGAAGGCAAGTTGGCTTTTAAGGAATGCTACATCCAATCATCATTCAACTATATAAGCTATATGTAACTGTAGATATGAGATGGCATCCCTGTGATGCCTTGATCACATTCTCAAAATATTACAAGACCTTTTAACCCAATGCCGCCGGTTAAAAATGTTTGACAAGTGGACGTAATAATGGGATAGTTGGCACGCATCAGCAGTTTCCCCTGTTTGCGCCTGACTCATTTGGAAGTTTGTGAGCAACATTTGGCTTTTATTTTGCTATAATTTATAAAAGATATTATAACTTTGAAGGTTTGCCTTCATTATAGGTACTATTGCCTAAAATCTTTACCATATAAATGAAGTCGCTACTATAGGAGAAAGCAAACTCCGTCTGACAAGCCAATAGCGCGGGATACCATCCGTTTTTCAGTCCACAACAGCTATGGCATGTAGGTACATGCCACCTGGCGGCTAATGGTTTAGATTGATATTTAAAGAAGTGAAAATGTTACTTAATTTGGAATGGAAAATCGGGTGAATTTAATTTAGAAAGTACCTGACAGTACCTGACAATTACTGTCTGTTTGTATTTTGAGTCGGCTATGATACATGAAATAATTATAAAGATTATTTTTGAAGAAAAAAAATTAGTATAGTCATACGTGATCAGTTTAGTGTTCTTTTCAGTTTCATTGTATACATTATTTGCATTCCTTTGATAGTTTCATTTCAGAAACAAAACATGTATGGGATTTTGAAGTGTACTATTAGATGGATATTGCTGTACAATAGTAGGATTTATTAGAAAACAGTCTTGGTTTTGTATTGCCATTTATGTGTGCTAATATTATGTATGATGTCTACATGGATTTGTTACATCTTTCCACTTGACATGACAATGAATTCCTCAACAGTGAAATTTAGTATTTTCAGACAGTAATGAAAACACCAGAGAAACACCATTTCAAGAAAAGTTGTATAAAATGTGATTCTTTCCTCTTTCCCAGTGTTGTTGTTGTTTTTTTACTGTTTTATATTGCCTTAAACTTTCCTCATAAGTACTTGCAGTACCTGTTCATTTTCATAAATTTATGTTACTATGGCTAAGGGTGGCTACTTGGGAAGAAGAGAGAATTTTATATGAATGGCATTGAGAGTTTTAATCACATATGTATTGAATAAATTCTCTTAACTGCATGTTTTTCAAAAACAATTTTGTAATCTGGCCTTCCACCTTTGATGGTGCAGCATCAAAAAAAGTGCTGAACAATCTTGTGCACACAAACATGCAAATATATACATACATATGTATAGGTACTTTATTTCTTATACATTGGTATTCTTCCTTTACATTAGTAATGAGGTTGTTATCATGTAAATTATATGCATTAAGTTATCAGATAGAAGTAAATTTTTAGAATACTTTTGGCTATGCTAAGTAGAAAGTAATTTCATACATGTATATAATATTCATAAAACAATTTTCACAAAGATTATAATATACACATACAAGATTCATAAGATAATTTTCAGTAAATCTAATGTCTGCGTTTATTTAACAGAGGATTGCACAGTGCCATTCGTACTTGCCTACGATGACCTCCTCTCAGGCCCCTTCAAGGCCTTCCTGGACACTAGCAACCAGATTGGGGGAGATGTCGCTGCAATTGCAAAGATGGTGCAGGAAACATTCATCAATCAGCGTGCTTTCTTGGTCATGGCTTCAAAGAGTCAACGACCCCTTGACAGTGAACTGCCTCAGGTATGATTGTTTATAGTGGTATGACAAAGTCTGACTGAGTGTTTGGATGTGGCTGAAAAATTAGCTAGCTTAATTTTTTTTTTTTTTTTTTTTTTTTTTTATTGATTTATTCAGACCAGTTAGACAAATTTTTCGTAGTTTAATGCATTTATTTCTTATTTATTTCATGTTGAAATAGAAGTCCTTTGACATAGAATTAATTATTATACTGATAAAAAAGCCTCAAAATATTTATCCATTAAGTAGGAAGACATTTGACCCAACGTGTACAGAAAGAAAGATAAAAGGTCAAGAGTAGAATGAAATTATTTGATAAATAAACTGGGACATGAAAAAGATTGGTAAATAAATTGGGACATTAGGAATTTGATATAATTGATTAAACTTTTTGCTGCTGCCTAAATGATTGAACAAGAATGACTTTGCCAAAGTATGAGCGCAATAGAGTTGATTATAAGGGAGGAAGATAGAATAAGAGGGAAAAGGGACATAGGTAACAATACAGGTGAAGGTAGCATACTTCAATATAGGTGAAGGTAGCATACTTCAAAGCTTTTCTTTAATTGTAAATGTATGTTATCAGAATTATATGAATACACTGCCAGCTGTTTCATGAGCCATGTTACTGCAGGTACTAGAGCCAACTGGCAAGAAGGTCCAGGAAGTGATTGCATTTAGGGAATCTAAACGCCAGTCGCCATTCTTCAATCACCTGTCTGCAGTGTCCGAATCTATTCCTGGCCTATCATGGGTGGCTGTTTCTCCAGCACCAGCACCTTATGTTAAGGAGATGGGAGACTCGGCAGTATTCTATACTAACAGGGTTCTCAAGGAATACAAGTACGTAGTTTTTATTTTGTTCACTTCAGTATTATTAAACACAATGGTTTCCCTGATGTGGTAATAAAAAACATTATGAATTGGAAAATACCTCACCACTCATAATGAGCAAGTTTCCTCGTAGTATTCCGCATTGAATTACAGGGACAAGGACAAAGTTCACGTTGAATGGGTCCAGCACTGGAACAACGTCTTCAAGGAGCTTCAGCAGTACGTCAAGACTCACCACACCACAGGTCTCTCCTGGAACACTCGTGGTGGCAACGCAATGTCAAACCTCAAGGCTGCTCCGGCTAACTGCGGTGTTCCTCCCCCTCCTCCTCGTAAGTTTGTGGGTTTTGTTGTCGTTAGTCTTTGTTGGTTAGCATTCAGCTTTTTCATTTAAGTGTATCCTTGACTCAGGTATTGTACCTAGGTTCTTAGGAGTCTGGGGCAGCAAAAATTCTAATACTTGTTGCACAGTTGATTTTGATATTTGTTTATTGATCTTTTTATTTGTTAATATTTTTTCAATGTATGTGAAGTACCAGAAATTTGTAAATGTCTATATTAATACATGAGGCATTCTGAAAACTGGATTGACCTTGTGCCTTTATCTTTCAATTTTACGGTATATTAAAACATCATAGAATAAGGAAAAGAATCTTTATCAATTGTTATTAAACATTTACAAAACACTTGAGTAAACCTTGTTTTGTTTATTAGTAAACTACTCAATCTTGAGTGCAGGTTTTTATATAACATCTGAAAAAATGGCAAAAATAGCTAACAATTTGTTAATACTTTTGATGATATACAGACAAAGTGGTTCTGTAACCTTTATGCTCATATGGAACTTAAAGAACACCAAGTGGGACAATATGTCAAGTGAGAATACTAGACTGGGTAAAGGTGTAGTTTCTTTTAAATATAGGGCTTCACCCATCATTGCCAGGATAACAATAATACTTGCCATCCTACATCAAGGTGTCAACTACTAATCTTATCAAGTTCACCTGTTCATCTTTTTTTTTTTTTTAGGGGGGGGGAGGTCTTGCTGTTAGTTTTAATAGCATAATAATAATCATAATCATAATGACAACATTGTTATTAAATGCTTTAGGAAAAAAAATCCTAAAAACTCACAAAGAGGAAATCAGCAGAGGACACATGGGCTTACTAATTGGCTCCTTGGTGGTTGAGCACTTGTGAAGTCATCTACCTACAAAAAATGTTTTCAAAAGAAAAGAACAGTAGACTGTGTGAATACCCAATGAGGATGCACACATGCATAGAAATTTTTCATGCAAAAGCACTTGCACTTACGTATGAATGTAAACTTGCGTAATATGTAAGAAGTATCATTATATGTAATGTTAAGATTATCCTTTCATTTATATTCCATTGTTTTCTTTTTCAGATTAAATAAAAGTAGATGTAAAGCTTGAAGTAGATTTTGTTTTCATTATTGTTATTAAAATTATGATTTGTTTGTTTACTTCTTGGGTATAGCTAGTAGCTGTATGCTCTATTTGATAAGATAATTTAGCGTGAATTCTTTAGAAGGAGAATTCTTGGTGATTTTTAAAAATCTTAACCATGCTTTTATTTTAGAATGAGAATAAAATAAGTAAGATGGGATTCTCACAATGCAACTTCTTAGCAGGTCTTTCTCTTTTTATTGCAATCTTTATTGTTAACAATAATGAAACTTTCTCATCACTTTTTTTCATATTTTACTTTTACATTTAGACTTTTCATTAGAAAATATTTATACCAGCTAGTCCCTTGTCCTTCAAATAGTGAAATAACCACAAAGAAAAAAAAGTGAAGGATAAAACAGTTGAAGTCCATAATTTGACAGTACATGGCTTTTGATGTGTAGGGCTATCACCATATGGCACATAGGTGTATAAGGATTACTCGTAGAGCTATTGTAGTGGTATTTTTAGGGTCATGTTCATATCATTGTTTTGCTAGCCTCAATGTCTTTGTTTGTAAGGTGTTGGCTATAAATTGTATATTTTTTTCCTAGGATTAAAGGTGGAAAAATCTGTTATTAAAGATTACCCACTGAAATTATACAATATTAGTTATGATTCTGAAATGTGACGTTCAAGATTTGTTAGACCAGATTTTATTGCTAGCTGACTCAGAATTATGTATGTTTAATTTTTCATGAGAATCTCTGAAAATATTTTTTGGACATTGGTGGTCAGCTACTGTATATCTATATTTTAGATTATATGTTTGTTTAATTATTACAAATGCAATATTATTACAAATATATATTTCAGAATCCACTAGGAAAGTATATTAACTGATTTATAGAATGGAATAATTTTTAATTATTTCACTGTAAGCACATCCAAGGATCCTCCTTGTCAGGCTTAAAAGAAAAAAAAGACAAAAAAAAAAGACAATCAAATTTATTTCTCTTCATCTCCCAATAACATCATTGGCAGTGTTATTGTAACTTTTGTTGATTTATTCTCCTAGCGGTTGTAAAAATGTAGCTAACTTTCGCTGTATTGTCGGTAGCTGGCATCCCTCCCCCTCCCCCAATGGTCCCACTGGTGCCAAAAGCTGTGGCTGCGGAGGATGATGGCCGAGCTGCACTCTTCGCCTCTATTAATAAGGGAACAGATATCACAGCCGGGCTCAAAAAGGTAAGGAGTTTAGGTGGTGTACTGTTTTGCTTGTTTTGTTATTTTTGTTTTATTATTGTTATTTTTGTTTAATATTTAATCATTATTGTTTTATTGTGTTTTTGATACTGGTGATGATAGTGAGATGCTTATTACTGTGTAGAAAGTGTTCTTTCTGTTTTGCTTAATTTTTCTATCCCAAAACAAATGCAAAAGATTTGAACAGCATGTAAGAGATTTATCATAAATGTGGGATGTTGAAGACTTTTGAGGTTCATTTTAAGTGGCTGATGCAGAGCACTGAGGTAATACCTTGTTTAATCCGGTTGCCTCGCATGTGGACCAAAATCCAGGCATTAGGCTTACTCGAGTGGCTACTCTTCTGGATGTGTGGTTTATAGGCCCAACCCACATGAACATTTCCCTTTGCAATATTATGATCTCTCTCTGCACAACCATTTTTCTGCATTTTTGCCCTTTTCCAAGATCTAAATTTGTCATTTGTTATTCTGTATGAATATGGTAATTGATTGTTTTCCTTGAGCAGACTCCATATTATCTCTATGTAGTTTGCAACTCCGTGCAATAACATTAAGAAACCTTTATTCTAAGGCATATTTGCGAAGAGAAAAGCAGTTATATTTTTCGTACTGAGTATAGATTTTATATTAACCCCTTGAATCAGGTTGCTTCATGGCAATCACATGGACCAAAATACATGTGGCTGCACTGCAGCGTGTGCAGTGTGTAGGCCAGATCCATGCACACTTATGTGCAGTGACAATAGTCATTGCCTTCCCTTGCAATGTTAATTTACTTTATCCAAATGGCAATAGACTGTTTTCTGTGTACAGGCACTAGTTCATCTCTCTATATAGTAAATAGGTCAGTGCAAGAAAAAAAAGAAAGAAATTTTTTGTAATCAATTTTCTGTAATACAACCTACACTGCTGGTCACGGCGGCTAGGAATAGGATGCTGAGCATGGAAATGGTGTCCTCCCTGGAGCGAGCACTCTTCCAGTCATGGCTGACAGACGTTACATTCCACACTCGTTTCTCGATGGGAATAATGCAAAACCCCTTTCTAAATGTTAAATGAGTAAGAGCACCCTCCACGAGATTTGTGCACTTATGGCGAGTCTTTTCCATCACCCTGGCCTTGCTCATGACAACAACTTCACGTCACCCCACCCGCGGCCATTTTTTCCCAGGATGGCATGTTCACACCACCCATTACCATGATAGTCACATCACCCAGATCAAAGGGGTTAAATAACTTTGAATGAGTGATAACGTTTATGCTTTTACAAATTAATTTACAGAATTGCTATGCTTTAGTGTGGTTTATATAACTAAAATAAGCATGTGTTACTCCTCCAAAGAAAGTAAAATGCTGTTTTGATTCAAGTCATAGCAAAGCAGTAACTGCAGTGTGATACATCGGTCTAGTCAGGGCACAGTGAGGTAGTCTTGTTAAAAACCAGGCAGTTTTCAGTTGAAGATTCCTCTTTTTGGTCCAGTGGTGTTGCATTGAAGGTTTCACAAACACTTTGACCTATCATCAGATATAAGCAGTCCAAGAGTTGGATGGTTGTTATTTTCCTTCCGTAGATGTCTCACAGGATACACCTTTGCACCAACCTCATAAAACAAGTTGGTCACATTTTCCTGTTCATCTGTGGAGCAACATTTTTTATGTCAAAGAATAACAAGAAAAAGTTATCAGGTTTTATTTTATTTCTTATTTAGGTGGACCGCAACGCACCTCGTCTTCCACCAGGGGTGTGGACGCCACAGACAGTAAATTGACATATCTTTTCTTTTGTGGGGGTATTCTCTGGTATACAGGTTACATATGCTGCATTACCTCTTGCTGTAAAATGCTGAAAAAAATTTATTTATGCACATACATAGGCCTTTTCCCCTTCCAAACTTTTAGGTGAATGGATATGTAGACGACATTTGTCTCCTGTTTCTACAGGTATTTGTATGTGTATGTGGAGGCTTTTATATATACATATATGCACTTTAATATATCCTGTACTGTATATGTAGATGGGTATCCAAGTCCTGCATGTAGGTGTCTAATGAATTATTCTAAGTTTGAAGGAATATAGACTACATTTTACTGATATCATTGACTTTGTCTTTATTGTTGTAAGTGTATACAAATGCAGTTGAAAGGTATTGTATGTTGTTGGGAAAATTGGTGATGTAAAATTAGAACTTTATTCATATATTTGGATCTTTGAATGGACTAATGGGACTATGAGGAACACAAGTGGAAGGATTATATTTATCTTACTAACCTCAAAAGGCTTCCTAGCATTTTTTTTCTTTGCACAATTTTAACTAATTTTATGTTCATACTAACCAGAGCAGCATAAAAATACCTCACCTCATGTGTCATTGACTAATCCATGTTTAACATTCGTATTTCTATGGGGCAGGTACATCCCTGCTGGGTTTAATTTCATATTTCATTACAAATTAAAGCCTCTTCATTTTTCTTCAATATCATTATGGATATTTGGTAAATCCAAAGCATAGCTAAACCATATTTTTTTTCTTTGATGTAATTAAAAAAAAAAACAATATCTTAAATGAAGAAGTAAAGAATTCAGCTTTACAACATCTAAACTTGATTATTTTTCTTATGATTACAGGGTATAATAGTAAAAACAATGCTTTCACTAACCATTATTTTTGCTTTCAAGGGAAGGTAAAGGTCAGTTGAATATCAGTCAAGCTACAAAAAAATAAAGAAAAAATATATATACCTTAAAAACAAAGAAGAGAAAGAGGGAAGTTTATGGAAAATCAGCAATACAAATTTGCAAATCTTTTCCAGGTTAGAGATGACCAGAAAACCCACAAAAACCCCAGTCTGCGTGAGGGACCAAAACCATTTGTCAAGCAGACAGAGACTGCCCCTGTTCGTGCACCCACTCGTGAGTCACCAGAACGCCCTCCCAAGTTTGCTCTTGAAGGGAAGAAGTGGTTTATCGAATACCAGAAAGACAAACCAAGTCTTGTGGTCGATAATGCTAAGATGGATCAATCTGTGTACATCTTCAAGTGCCAGAACATAGTGGTTCAAGTTAAGGTAGGCTTTCTTTTGTTATTTATTTTATTTTTTCATTTCTTTCTTTTATACTCACTTTCTTTTCTTTTACTCGATTGTAATTATTCAGTTATTTTTATATATCACATGGATATCTTCTTCAATTTCTGTCATGCTTGTTACCTGTTGATACTTGGTTCTTTATAGTAATAGAGGCTGATAACATTATTTAATGTTCTTGTTCTTAGGTATCTAGAGATTATATTTATAACTTTTTACTTCCCACAGGGTAAAGTTAATTCTGTCATATTAGACTCCTGTAAGAAGTCTGCTGTAGTATTTGATAACCTGGTTTCTTCTGCGGAGGTTGTCAATTGTCAATCGTGCAAGGTCCAGGTAAGAATGTTATTTGTCATGTATTCCCTATAGTGCCTCAATTAACTTCAAAATTTTAGTTAAGATAGTAACTATATAGTTAAGTAAACTTCACTCATTTGTAGGGCAGTTAATGACTTATTAGTCTACAAGATACTATTCAAATAAGAATATAATGATGAAGTAGAAGTTAACATAACATATTTATTGTATACCTATATTTTTCTCACTATATCATAATCTTTTCTTTCTTTCCTGCAGGTGATGGGCATCATGCCAACTATCACGATTGAGAAGACCGATGGTTGCCATGTTTACCTGAGCAAACAGTCTCTCAACACAGAAATCATCACAGCCAAGTCCTCTGAAATGAACATCCTTATTCCCAAAGAGGATGGCGAGTTTGTAGAATGTCCTGTTCCTGAGCAGTTCAAGACGGTGATCAAGGGCCATTCCCTGGTCACTACATGTACCGAAAAGGCTGGTTAAAGTCTGTGAAACAATGCTCATGTAGGAGAAATAGAGAACAAGAGGAAGAGAGAGGATAATTTTGGAACCTGGCACAATTAATTTACTTGATTTAAAGAAAAAATTGTTTACATACATTAAGAAAACACATTTGAGGATATTTATTGGTGCTTGATGTGAATAGTCATCCCAGGAAGTGATTTTTAAAGGATTTGTTAATAGTGGATTCAAGAAATGTCCAAATTTCGTAGTGGATTACAGTTTGATACATGTAGTTTTGATTTGAGAATTTTCTTTCTTGACAAAGACGTATTAGAAATTGATGAGTCCTCAGAGTGAAATGAAGGTTTAATTATGCAAGCACAAGAATAATTACTAGTTTCAGCTTTTTATACAATCAGTATAAAGCCAGTGTTACATTAAACATAATTTAACTACAAACAACACATTTAAAGGATTGGCACCAAATTATTTAGATGTTATGGCTTGATTTAGTAATTGCCATAGTGTGCAATGAGATAGAAAACACAGTCAATGAAATGATATTTCCTTGAGTTAAAATATTAGAAAGGATCATGAATTTGTTAATAGTTCATCTAATTTGTGATTCCAGTTCCCCCACCAAGTCAACAGTTAGCTCTAGACTGTATCAGTTATTTATCCAAAAAGCAACAACATTAAAATGGAAAAGTGAAGCTTTTTTACTCATATGAATGTAAGACACAATGTTACTCAAAAGCACAAGTTATTTAGAACCAGTCTGATTCCTCCTCTAAATAGCCAAAGAATTGTTTGAAAAATGCGTATGGATAAGGAATGCATGAGAGAGATATTTATAACCTTTGTAAAGTGACAAGATCAATGGGAATGATTTAGCCAAAGTTTGTAATGAAGGTAAAAAAGGTAAAAAAAAAATGATGATAATGATATAGAGGAACAATATCAGCATACTGGTAAGGCAAGTCTGTTTCTTCCTTTAGAAATATTTCCCACATTGTCATGGTTGCCACTTCTGGAATTAGTTTTCTCATTCATTATCCCTAGAAGAAGAAGAAGAAAAACATTGTAGGGATACATGTTGCTACTTTTATATAAGAAGAAAAGCGATTTTTACACAAATTTTGAATGAGATCTTTCATTACTCTTCTTGATGCTGTATGTAGTTTAGTCCCATAATTTATTATTATTCCTCTAGTTTCTTTACCAACTGGTGAATTTGGAAATGTATTAGACAGTGGCATAATTATCAAACAGTATGGGAAAATCTAGCCTTTTTACTTTGCTTTATTATAATTATAATTGTCTACTGCAAATGTTGATTAACTGTACTCTTCCATTTTATATGCATATCAGTAATGATTTTGATTTAACTAATAAAATGTACAAGTGGGTACCAGTTTATTCTTTTATTTCCCAGTGTATTTTTTAAGAAAATATCCATGAATAGTTTCTAGGATGCATTCTTGCCAAAAGGTTTTGTTTTAACTATATAATGATGGGGCCTGAATTTTTTGTAATTAAATATCACACAACAGTCTAGACTTTGTGGCTAGGCCTAAGCTGTGTACAGCCAGCACACCTGTTGCTAGTCACACGCGTATATATATCATTGGCCATTACGTCATTACCTGTCTTGGAAGGGTTAATGCTCTTGGTGGCTAATGACATGTTAGTAATATAAATTACTCTTCATTGATTCACTCAATTTTTTAATCAAGACACATTTAAAATTTTCTCCTTTTTATAGATCATGGTTTCATTTATTACACATGTTTAATGTTTGTCTTTAATAGTTAATGGATAAAAAAAGGGGGAACTTGAGACATGTATATTGTCAATTACTTTGAATGTAGAGGGAATAGGAATAAAGATATTGAAGGATGGATAAGATAGAAGAGCATTCTCTTGGGTCATGTGGAAGGGAGTTGGGTGGGGAGGTCTGAGAAATGAAGGTTTTCACATGAGAAGAGGGGACAGGTCGAGGAGCAGAGGAAGAAGTGGGTGTAGATGATAGGGTGGAATGTTTAGATCACCTGGTGTGACAGGTAAAGTTAGGAGGAGGAAGGATAGGCATTGGGAAAGTGGTATAGATTGGAGTATCTAGATTTTGGTAAAAAAAAAATTTGGCTAGTGGAGAAAGGGAGTAGAGGCAAGAGATGGGAGAGGAGCAGAGTGAAGGATGGTTGAAATAGGTAGAGAGAAAATCTCATCTGGCATCACATGGAGTTTGCATGTGAGAACTGCTATCTCACATTTGAGCTTGTAGGCAGAGCAGCTCCTGAAAACTTAATTATGGGAGTCACCCCAACTGACAAATGTGAGACTGAGTAGAGCAATTTGAATAGTTATGACCAAGTTGGGCACATACGAGGGCAGCAGGCTATGGAGCAACAATGTTTGGTAAGGTGCCCAAAATGCCAACATTTATGACAATGATGAGGAAGGGGTCAATATTGTTGGACAGCTAAAAAGAGGACTCAAAAGGTCTGCAGAGGTGGAAGCAGTAGAAGGATGAGCGCAGGAGGAAAAGCAGGTAGCATGGAAAAAGCCAGTGCTGTGTGGAGGACAATAAAGATGAAGAGTAGTAATAAAGGAGGAGTGGGCAGGCAATAAAGACGACTGTACAGGAGGGAGTGGAAGATGTTGGGAGAGACTGGTGTATTCTGAAGAGTGAGTAATGACCTGGGTGAACAATTTGAAATGGATGAGTTGCCAGCAAACATCAAGATTAGTATCAGTAGTTGGAGCCATGATCAAGGGCAGGGGGTTGGGAAATCAGAGAAGCCAAATTTAGATAGGTTAGTTGATGAAGGGGCAAGGCTAAATGCCCTTCCTAAGGTTACAAAATCTTCATTACTGGCCATGGTCAGCCTGAAATGTGTCGGGTGATCCCCAACATTGGGCCTCAGTCGCATATGCCCCCCACAATAACAACAGGCATGGATTGGGGGGGAGATAATCCATGTTTAATTTACAGAGGAAATGTAATGCATTAGCAGCTAAAAGTAAGTTACATTAATTTGACAATTTCCTGAATGATCTCTCCACAAGAAAAATAGATTATGATAGTCATCATTAGTTATTGTTCGCTGAACTTTTATTTATGAATGTACTGATAGAATTTTTTTTTTTTTTTTTTTTTACTTAATTAGATGCCCACAATCAATTTCTTGAATCTCTTTCAGTAGCATATACATACCAGTAGTTACTATAGTTCTGCATTTTTATACATTATTTTTGGGACAAAAATCTAGACAAATTATTGTTTTTAAATAATACAGAGTACCGTAGTTATAAAATTAATGTATGATAACTGCAAACCATTCTCAGAATGGATAAAGGTCAGTTTGCCCCTATTGGTTATTGATTACATGTTTGTTAAACAGCATTCACAGGAGGGGTAGTGCCCAATTAGACAAACATAGTATGTAAATTATGTTCCAATGAATGTGTTTGGAAAGTATTTGGTGGGCATGCATGGAGACCACCTCAAAGGTAGGAAAACCAAAAGGAACATAACTTGAAATATTGTGTCTAGTCTCATCTATGGACAAAAAATTGTCCTGTCTTGGCTAAAGCCTGCCACCTGGGAACTGCTTAATCTGGTAAAACTATGAGTGAGTGATATTAGTTCTGCAACCATTGCCCACATGACCTCTTGTGTGTATTTTGCAAGTCCATCCTTACTGGATATGAACAACCCTAATTATCTATAACATATTTAACATATATGATTCCACTGGACTGATTCCTTCCTCATTAGGAACTGAAAACTGAACAAAGTCTCAGCAGTGTAATTACAGATCTTCAAATTAGAAAACGTCCATTACATTGTGCCTTATTTAATCAAGACCAAAATGTTATTTGTTTATAGGACAAGAATGGAAAACTAACATTACATTATTAAATTAAAGTGATATACCATGAGTGTTGGATAATAAAACTAATGGTTTATATTTATGATCCTGGCTTTTAAACAGGTTTTATAGAAAACATTTATTCTGATGTGCACATGTGTGTACAGAGTATCTAATAACAAAAAATATGGAAGAAAAAGTAACTGATGCGAAGGAAAATAAAAATGATTCTAAGACACTGTATATGAAAGAATACTTTATCCATAAAAGATTCTGGTGCTGAATGTAAATGACATGACAGATTTCCTTTAGAAATCACTTATAATCAGTTCATCAATACCCCAATCTTCATAAGAACCATCAGGTAAGTATCGTCTGATGATGATGGGAATTTTTCTTTCTCTTAATTCCTTGGCAGCAATCTGTAGCGGATCTGATTCAGCTTCTATTTCTACCATCACTGGTGCACACATTGCTATTTGTAATGCTCTCGTCCCTAACACTCTTGCTCTTTCATATCTGCAAGAAATATATAATAAAAATTAATTTTCATTTATGCACTTCTTGGAATCTTTAAATTGCCATAAACACAAGTGGATAAGTGAAACAAAATTTAGGATTGATAAATCACGGCTCTCCATTTCAAGTTGGTAATTTGTTATTAATGCTGATAATAATTTCTAGGGCTTGAATCTCTAGCAAAGTCAACTGGAATAAAGTGAATTTCACTTGGCCATATATACATGTAATTACAATGATAACTAAGAATTGTGAGGATTCATTTCTCTCTTTTTACATCACTTTCTACCTCTAATATTATTATTCTTATTCTCTCTCTTATGCACCAATATATGCACACACGTGCACACACAATCAAAGGGTCACATTCTTTGTCGTATCTCAATTTAAATAATGCTATAAAACAAAACAAAAAAAGTAATTGTTATTACTTTGTCATATATGGAGTTGTGATTCGCTTCTGTGTGGGGACCTGATTGCCTTCCCCAGCAGCCAGAATTTCCATTTGATTTTCATCCTCCTGAAAAGTGAGACATTTACCATGTAATACAGAGCTTATCTTAATTACTATTAATAAAGAGGAGTAAATCTGAGGTCAAGTTTAGGTACTAGAACAATAAAACTAAGAAGAGTTTGTTGCCAAAATATATATGCATATATTTCATTTTGCTATTTCTTGTATATTCTAAACAAAATGTGAAGATATTTTTCAATCTTTCCAGCCATCCTCTGACAAGCACGAGTAAAAATTATGTTATCTCTTAAAATGAGAATGCCAAAAGATAAACTGGAGAATTTAAGGAATTGTAGTGGAATCAATAAAAAAATAAATAACCAACCTCTCCTTCCTGCAAGTCATCGAGGTTCTCATCCTCTTCTGCCTCTTCAAAATCGTCCCCAACACTGTAAAAGATAAAATTGTTAATGATAATGGTTAATGGTTACAAGGCAAAATAAATATACTAGCCATCAAATATCATACGGCACTACAGAAAGGAGTAGTAGTGAAAATGGTAAAGAGGGGGGTTTGTTGAGGATTAAATGTGCTACTTGTCAAAAGTTATACAGCAGTTTTCGATAGTAGGGTATTGAGAGGGCGAAAGAGGGATAAATTAAGAGAGTGAGTAAATAGGTTGTTAGGGATTAGCAAAAGGGTGATTAGATTAAAGTTTTCAAAGAGAGAAGTGTAGGATTCTGCAAGGATGTCCACGTTCAAGTTCATCAACTGCAATTGAATCTAAACACCGTAACTTTTTTCTAGTTGAGATAATTCAATAATTTTTTCTATTCTGTACATCTTGGAATGTTGGCTCTCAGATTGGGCATATTGGACAGTGATTTATAATGTTTGAAATTTTGCTACTGACGTTAACCTCTGCTCGGCCTGGCCCTATGGGGAAATGGACAATCAGGACGCAAAGTAGTAATAAGGGAGGAAAGAGTATAACATGAAGCAATCTGTGGAGGATGTTGGTATAGTGGAAAGAATATTTTCTGAATTGGCTAAGTGAACTAGAATAGACTGAGCTGACAGTAGGTATTGAGGAGGGGGCAGTATTCGGTCATGATCAAAGGAGAGCAAAGGGTCATACCTGAAAAGTTAATGTCTTTGTGGTTATTTGATAAAGGGGTGTCTCAATGCCCCTAATATAGGTACAAGTTCATTATTGGCCATGGTAAGCCTACACTATGTGGGGAAGAGAAATGGTTCACCTCTTAGGGTCCTTATGAGGGTAAAGAGCTAGATAAGTAAACAGGGGAATACTGTGGCCATGGTTCTCTAAAGCCGTTCAGGACTGACCCAAAGCCAGCCTTTCAACACAGCTTTCACATCTCATGTAGTGGACAGAAGGGTTGAAAGAGAAAAGGAAAAGGAAAGAGGAGAGGAAAGGCCTTGCAAAATTAGTTGAGCTGAGGGCTGAGGCCTAAGGTAGGGAAAATTCATGAGGTAAATATTCCTGGTCATGTTTTTGGTCCCAGGTTTTGTATAAATACCAAGACATAGATTGCAGTTTGAAAATGCGCATCTGGAAGATATCAGTATGCAATACATATATTAACCCACTAACGACAGTTGTCCCACATATGAGACACCCGAAAAAATAAATATTGCCGGGCGTCCCACCAGTGTGACGCTGTATCGGGGCTCGCGCTCTGATACAGCAGTGGGCCGTGGCAGGTGAGCGGGCAGAGTCCAGGGCAGCCCCGCCCACCAATTTTGTAGCCGCCCGGAATCTTTTATTTTCGGCTTCAAAATATACCGCCGTTAATGGGTTAACTTCCACAAATTTTGGATGTAAATCTTCAAGACTGTACATTTCCTTAGCTTTGTATTCCCATCAAGTCTAATCATTACATTTAAAACCTGCCATATTTGTCGTGATTAAACTTGCTGGCTTTACTTAAAAAAGAGAGAGAGAGAGAGAGAGAGAGAGAGAGAGAGAGAGAGAGAGAGAGAGAGAGAGAGAGAGAGAGAGAGAGAGAGAGAGAGAGAGAGAGAGAGGGAGGGAGGGAGGGAGGGAGGGAGGGAGGGAGGGAGGGAGGGAGGAGGGAGGGAGAGAGGAGTTTCGAGGGAGAGAGGGGAGGGAGGAGAGAGAGAGAGGAGAGAGAGAGAGAGAGAGAGAGAGAGAGAGAGAGAGAGAGAGAGAGAGGAGAGAGAGAGAGAGAGAGAGAGAGAGAGAGAGAGAGAGAGAGAGAGAGAGAGAGAGAGAGAGAGAGAGAGAGAGAGAGAGAGAGAGAGAGAGAAGAGAGATTGAGAGAGAGATAGAGATAGAGATAGAGATAGAGAGAGGGAGAGGGGAGAAGGAGCACTTAAATAATTTTTTCTGTACAACCAGCCTTTACATTCATATCTGCATGGCACAATCATCCTACTTTGCATGGTGAAAATCTTTGGTGCACAGTCCCAAATTTCAAATCTAGTACAGCAATTTACAAAAAATTTACTTTTTGGGGTATTTGTTACAGAGAGTGACACACATTCCCAGAGACTAAGTAAAAAAAAAAAAAAAAAAAAAAAAAAAAAAAAAACATGTTTTTCTGCATGAAATCCAATGATTCATTGATTCTCGGCGTTGTTTCTTCTGCGATTGAATTGTTCAGGATATTGACTGCGTACTATTTCTCCATTGGTGATCTTGCTTTGATAGTCCCGTTAGTAGGGGAGGGCATGAAGTATATCAGAGAAATTATGGGGTAAAACAGGCTTAAACAAGAGCCATCAAAAATGCATAAATCTAGAAAAAAAAAAATAAAAAAAAATAAAATTGGCTAATGAAACTCTATGGACATAACCACCATTTTTGAAATTATACAGACTGATGCGCCAGAATTATACTCTACTGGATCCCAACCCACATTTTGGCAAAACTTCTACAGTTTTCAGTATAGTTGAATTTCTCTAACCGTCTGCAATGTAAATATGTAGGTTTTATTGCTTAGAAGCCCCCCAACCCCACATTCTTGGCCCCGATAGCAGGGGATGGGATGAAAGATACCAGGGAAATTGTGGGGTAATATATAAATGATATACTCAGAATCAGTCATTATACAGTCTACAGGCAGCCCCCTGCAACACCCCCATGGGTTGCTGCTGCCCCCAACATCTGCCCACAAAGACAAAAATTCCTCCACGTATTCACGGCAGGTGCGAGCCAACGACCACCGTGTGGAAGAGGTGTTGCGAAGTCCCTCCAATGCTCTCGCCTCCCATGAATACGGGGAAGATTCTTAGTTTTCCTGGGTGAGGGTTGGGGGGCAGCAGGCCCCTGCATTAGACATCATTTACATTTTACCCCGCAATTTCCTTGGTACCTTTCATGCCCTCCCCAGCTATCGGGCCCAAGAATGTGGGAGGGGTTTGGGGGGTTTCCGTGCAATAATTTCTATATTTGGAAACTAGACTTTGAGAGGAATCCAACGATACCGAAATCGTCGCGATCCGTTTCGCGGACGTATTCTAGAAAATTATAATAAAGTGATTCTGAAAAATGTCTACTTATGATATTGCGTCACCACAACTCTCATATGAATTTACGCTAAAAACGCTTATGTATCACATCAGAGACTCACCTGAACTGGATAATCACTTCCTACCAACACGATAATATCTAACACATACAAAAAGCTCTCGAATCTTACTCATCTCCATCAAATTCTTCGTCAGCCATGCTTGCGCGTGTGATGCCTTTCGGTGTCTTCGCTCAACTCAAGAACACAACAAAGCGTCTTCGTTCACATCCTACATGAAATCCAAGCGCTCGAATGTAATCTTTGTTATATACGTCCCTAATGTTAGAAACAGAGTCTAATAGTTCTCAAGGAAAGGAGTCTCACAGGCACCACAGCTCTCTGTCTCACGAGTTACGGTCGAATGTAATCTTTGTTATATACGTCCCTAATGTTAGAAACAGAGTCTAATAGTTCTCAAGGAAAGGAATAACGGTTATAATTGATTGGTGCTAATTAGGAGAGTAACGGCTGCAGGTAATTATGATGCATTTTTTGTTATGGTTCAAGTTCGATGAACGGGATGTGAACCAGCGGTGTTTACATCCGAGGGAGAACTCCGATTTGCATAAAACTGCATTCGAAACGCCTAATGAATAATTGGATTAGTAACTCGAGATCGCCACACGTGTAAATAAAAGCAATATTCTAAGTTCTTGTCAAATGACATGGTATAAACTCCAATTTTGCATTCATAATTTTTACACCACAGGGCCGAAGAGGTTCTTTTGAAACACCTCTACAGGTCACGAAGAACGGACGCGTCGCTATCCGAATTTAGTCATCACTGCCTGAGCTTTCCCTTCTGCTCACCTCCGTACACTTGGCCGCTCAACCGAAACTACTATCTGGTAAAATTGGGGGTGAAAGTATTGATCGGAATAAAATTATCGCTTCGTCGACGCACACCTTCATTATTAGTCCATACGTGACGATCGAGTTACAGTAGCAACATCGGCTTGACGGTCAGAGGAGGTGAGGTTTTAAAGATGAGTCATTTTAAGTCGACATATAACAACAGTTTGTCAGAAGTCTTCTTTATTTTTGCTAGACCAGTTTCAGGAACGAAAAACTTAAACAAACATGGATTCCTTGCGAAAAAAGTCTTGGTTTTGAAATAATAGAGGAGAAAAGAGAGGAAATCAGATCCCGTTAGTTGTCTTTGTGTGTGGATGACACATAAGGTTACTAGGAAGTAGTGCGACATCTAAACAAAGTGAGTCTGTATTTGGTAATCCTGTGTCTTATAGATAACCATATACCCTGAAGTTTGCCAATTGCAACAAATTTGGGCTTTTAAACTCCCCTCTCTTTGTATTCTTATTATCTTTATTTTTGGTGCATGTACTGTAACCTTGGTGACACAGAAAATATTAGGATTTAGATGGCTATATGTTCTGATGTGTTTTTATTTTATGATGCTTTGTGAACACTTTTATTTTTTTGATTTTGTTAAATATATTGTATGTATATAGTAAGGTCAATGGTTTTAAAAACGGAAATAATCCTTTAAAAAAATCATGAATTCATTTTGTAGATACATGTTTCAATTCTAAACACTATGAGAGGAATAGTAGGGAATATAGGTATTATATACACATACATAAAATTCTCACTAACCACATTATAAAAGTTAACCCCTTGGATCTGGTTGCATGATGGAAATCATGGAGCTGAAATCCCCGGGCGATGGGTTACGTAAGCGGCCAGCACACTGGGCATGCAGTGCATAGGCACGAACACCCATGAGTGGTGACAAGACTCTGTACCTCCCCGTTGAAAAATTATTTTGTGTAAACTTTTTTAGTTTTATCATCATTATCCAATGTCCATATTTGTCTTTTGATTTGCTTTATCCAGATGGTAATTACTTATTTTCCTTGCACAGACTCCATATCATCTATGTAGTAAATAGCTCAGTTCAAGAAAAAAGAATATATAGAACATTTGGTCATTTGTGTCATATATCTCATTTTTCATTTTCAATTTTAATAACTGAGCTGAGATTGGCCAGGAATACGGTGCGCAGCATGGAAATGGCGTCCTCCCTGGAGCCGGTGCTCTTCCAGCCACTGCTTACACACGTTACATTCCACATTTGTTTATCGATGAGAATAATGCTAAAGCCCCCTTCTAAGGGCCAAATGAGTCAAATCACACTCCAAGAGGTTTGTGCACTCGTGAAGAGTCTTTTTTGTCACCCTGGCGTTTGCTCTTGAGACTTTTTGTCACCGGGTTGTGGTCTTTTTGTCCGGTTGATGGCTGCCCAAGTTTTTCCTTGATGTGATTGCAACGTCATCCAGGTCCAGGGGGTTAAGGTACTGAAAGGGTCTCTTAGTTACTTTATATCAAATACTTTGTTTGAGAATTATAAATTTTGGTAAGTATATATATATGTCATGCTGACTTGTTATAGATTACTGGTTAGATGTAGGTAATGTAGAAATTAATAATTTTATGTACTTCAGAATTTCATATACTTCATTTGCATTTGACATAAAAATTTGAATGTCATGCATGTCTGTCTATACTATTAATCATGCATTATATAAGTACATATAAAAAGGATGTGACATTATGCTTGAATTAACAGATTTAAGTACGAAGCAGCATTTTTATTTCCATTTTTATTTGTAGAGAGAGTTACCATGAAGTGCCGTGGAATATCATGTAATATTTTCATTTAAGAATAGCACTAGCATGTATAATGACTTTTCCTTGGAACCACTATTGCTGGTATAATGATCTGCATTTTGAAGGTGTGTACAGACTTTGTCATTTCCTTATGTTTTTTCCCCACAGACAAAATGGCAAAGGTTGTATCTCAAGAAACCTTTGATAGTGTTGTTCTAGAAAATGTTGTTGAATTTGACATGGATATTGAGGATGCTATAAATGATGCTATAAAGGAGTTTGAATCTCAGGTAAGAAGTCACTGATTATATTGTGTTATTACATATTATTTATATGCTTTTATTATTTTTATGATGAGGTTTTATAATGAAAAGTATACTGTACTTGAAAGCAATGGCACATCTGTTAGATCAAAGTCTTTACTATCTTTACTTTACAGGGTGTCCATCTTGGTACCATTGTAAAGAATATGCACCTGAGTGAGGACAAGAAGAGCATTGTTCATGACATTCTTGTTGCATTAGAAAAGATCAAGTGTGCTGCAGATGGCTCTCCTACTGAAAGTGATATTGTGGAGCCCCTAGCAACTTTTAGTACTGAGTGCAAGGTGTCTGTTGCCCATCGCGTCTTGGCCAATAATAACAATGCTTATGAAATTCTTATCAAGTTGATAAAGAAAATCCAGGTATGATATATTATATAATATGTATAAGTATTATGTGCATGAGGAGGTCAAAATTTAACTCAAATAATTTTAATAATGATTTGCTTTGTAAGCATTTGTTAGTTTTTTGTTAGTTAATTAGAGATTTTTTGCTATCCTACTACCATAGTATTATTGTTGTAATTGTCATTATTTAGTTAGTTATTATGATCTTTTATTGATCTATTATTGGTGTTTATATTCATCAAATTACAGTACTTGTATTGTTATTTTTTACAAAAATAGTCGGTAATAATTTTTCATGGTTATTTCTGCTTCTTGTTATTACAAGCTACAGTTACCTGAATGTTCTCTTTTCCAACCCAGTTTACACTAAGAACATCCCAAGGGCATAATTCCGATTGTTTGGGTATTATACAATGATGATGATTGCATTATGTTCCTAGGAAATGTATTTCAAATGACTCCTGTACTACCATTGACAAGGCTAGAATTTAAAACAGTTATTCATAATATAAGACATATGAAACCTGAATCCAAAGTAATTAATTTTTATATATAAGTGACCATGGGGTGTAATATAGTAATTTCTCAGCTGACACAAAAGATACGTTTTAAAGATGATGGTAGAATGGTAATTATGTTTTTTTCGTATACTGTATTTCTTTCTTTATGTTTAATATTCTTGATTTATTTTATATAAATGTATATTGATATTACACAGTAATTACTGAATATTTAAAACTGATCTTTATGGTATCAGGGTGACTCTGCTCTCCTAGCCCCATCTGTAAAAGCGATGGGTGCTCTAATGGAACAAAACTCCGATATACTAACTGCTGAGGGAAGTCAATTATTACTGGATCTACTTAAGGACTGGACAACTCGAAATGAAGAGTCACGAGTGCCAGAATATTTGGTGAGTATAAACTGAAATACAGTAATTGATAGAATAGAATATCGATGGCTTTTTCTTTAGTCAGTGAAAGTGATTCTTTTATTTACTTTTTCTCTTTTTGATTGACAGTTCTATTTTCTCACAGTAAAATAAACAATAATAATAAAATAAAAGGTTAGAAAACAATGAGAGAACTGGAAGAAAAGACTTACCCTTTTTTGACCATCATATTTCTGTTTACAGGCTCGTTGGTCAACTGAATGCTGTTTAAAGCATGAACAGAATCGCCAGAATATGGTAACAGCAGGTGCTCTGGGCATTCTGGTAGCTTTCTTGCAGGGACAGAAATCAAACTCCAAAGCTATCAGAACAACCAGCAGAGCCATTCGAGCTTTTACACTTGATGACGATATGAGACAAGAGTACGGCAAGGCTCACGAACATGCGAGGCTCTTAGTAGAAGAGCATGGACTCATTCCTGTTTGTTTAGAGATGATCAAAAGTAAGTTAGTGAGTGGCTTTCTTTGTACAAAGATTAGGAATTTCCATGCTATATGATTATGGATACATATATTTACCAAGTTACGTTCATTTGGCTTTTCTTCATTTACTTTTTTATTTATTTATTTATTATTATTTTTTTTTTTTTAACTGAATTTAAAGTTGTCAAGATTTTACATTAAAGATTGAAGCATGGACAGTTAACCTGTTGGGTTAGAGTGCCATGTGGCACATGTGGACCAAAATTTAAACATGCTTCCTTAAATGGTGACTAGGATGTGTAGCTTGTAGGCTCAGCCCACACTCCTATACACATTTAGTATCAAGACTGCTTGCCTCCTCTTTGCAGTTCTGTTAGCCCTTTATCTACTGATGAGTTCTTGATGGTTTGCCATTTTCCAAAGATCTATATTTATCGTTTGTTATGCTGTATCGAGATGAAAATAGACTACTTTGATTGAGTACACTTCATACGATCTCTTCAGATAGTTTACACTTTGTGCAATAACAATAAGTAACATTGTGTTATATTTTTCTAATGTTACATTTTCTGTAACACACCCTGAGCCACTACAGGGGTGTAAATTTCACCCCCTGTGAACCAACACTGCAAAAAAATTTCATTGAGAGTGGTTCCTTTCACCAGCCTCTCTGCCTAATTTTTTTTTCCATGATGAGATATTTCCATCACTCCCTCCTTGGCCAGTTTTTTTCATGATAAGATATCCAGATCACCCAGATCCAATAGGTTAAATGAGAAGCTGTTTTACATAACAAAAATAACAAACTACTCTTTCACAATTTAGATTGCCTGAATGAGAGTGACACTGCAAGTGAGCTGCTCTCTACCGTCAGTAAGCTGTGTGTCAGAGCTGAATACTGTCAGGAAGCTGTTGATCATGGTGCTCTTGTTGTCATCAATGATGTTCTAGTTTCATTCCCAGATCATGCAGTAAGTTACTAAGTGGACTGTTACTTCTTTGAACCTCTATTTTTTTTTTTTAATCAGGTCTACTTTATCCCATGGTATTGTATGTAACTATATTTATAATAATGAATTATTTTGAGAAAGAGAGAAAGGGAGAGAGAAAGAGAAAGAGAAAGGGAGAGAGAGAGAAAGAAAGGGAGAGAGAGAGAGAAAGAGAATAGGGAGAGAGAGAGAAAGAGAAAGAGAGAGAAAGAGAAAGAGAAAGGGAGAGAGAAAGAGAAAGAGAGAGAGAGAGAAAGAGAAAGAGAAGGAGAGAGAGAGAAAGAGAAAGAGAAAGAGAGAAAGAGAAAGAAAGAGAGAAAGAGAAAGAGAAAGGGAGAGTGTGTATGTATGTGTGTGTGTGCATGCATCATGGTTATCCTTTGTTTTAGTCCAATTTCGCATTTTTTTATTGTGGGGTGAAGGTACTGGGGTAACTGACCAAGCACGAGAAGTAGATTGACACAGGCCATTTATAGTCACTATCTGAAGTTGGGTAATTAACTGACCGTATCTTTACTATGTCATAATGCCAGAACACCTTACAATACCCTCTCGCAATATAAAAAGACTCATGATCAGGCTGTAAAAATCCAAACAATAATATTTGAGGGCCTGAGGGACTAAGACATTATTTTTTACACTGTTTGCAATCAATTCTTAGATTGATGATGAAACAAAATCAATTCATAGGATGGAGATTCTTTATGCTAATATTCTTTCTTGTTTTTCAGGCTCTTAATAAGCAAGCAATCACATTCCTTAAGACTCTTGTAGGGAATGACAAAGTGAAGGCAGAGGCAATGAAGACGGGTTCTCCTCAGTTAATTATTGCGGCACTTGCCAAACACCAGGTGAACGTTATACAAAGAATGAAGTTAATGTATATAAAAAGAAAAATGTTTTATATTTGGAGATATTTTATATAAGAATGAATAGATTTTATAGGAAAATGTTTTACACAAAAAGGATTATACAATAATGGAGATTTTTATATAAAGATGTTTTGTGTAAAAAATGAGATATGATTGAAAAAAAGGGGAAAAAAATCAAATAGCAAATAAGGATATAAGGTATAAAAAATTAATTTCAACATATTAATTTACTTTTCCTTGCTTATAAACAGTCGGTACCTGGAGTGTGCGAGGCTGCATGTGGTGCAATATCTTTCCTAGCGTTAAGAGTTCCAGCTCATGCAAAGCAGCTCATGCAACTAGGGGCAGGTCAGGCCGTTGTCCAGGCTATGAAAGTACACTCCAAGCAAAAACAACTCCAGGTTAGGATATATTTTTGTCTCCTGCGTGTTGTATGTAAGATTGTTGTATTATGTAATAGAGATAGGGCTTTATACAAAGGTTAAAAAGGGAAATTAAAGAAAACGTAACTTTTATCACTCATGAAGCATTTTACTATAACATGATACATTATACTACATATGTGGAATATGACATGAAAACCATTCCTCCAGCAGTGATATCTAGAGAAATTGTATATGAATAGAATCAATGTTGATTATTTAGCAAATTAGTTTATTACTTGGATAATAGTTCATGATCAAATCCACAGAATTACTAAAATGCCATGCCACTGAAGTTTGTATCTGTCATCTTGCTTTTGTTAACGATAGCAGTATAATCAACTGAAAACTGAACTCATCTGAAACCCTTTCTCTAAGCACATTGTATAGTCAAAGGTATTAGTTTCAAATATTCCCATGTTTGCAATACGTGGAGGAGGAAATAAATTTTCCTAGTCAATTATAAACACATTAATACTTCATTACTCAGCAATGGGACTGAATATTTTACATTAATTCCATTTCTCCACACAGAAACTGGGCTGCATGGCAATCAGGAACCTCGTCTCGCGTGTGCCTGAAAACCAGCAAATGTTTATCGAGTATAATGTTGAGGATGTGATTCATGCTGCTCTTGAGAACCATGGAGAAGCTGTGAAGGATGTAGCTCAAGCTGCCCTTAGAGACTTGGATCTGAAGGTCAATCTGGTGGAGCAATGGAGAGGAACTGGCCATGAAATCAGTCGCTGAAGTTCCTGTGCTGAAATCTCTGGTAGAGAACGTCCTCATGTTTGTGATCTTATATTGCATTAACAGCATTTAACTTGTCTTATGGCATAGCATTGCCTTCTTGTGTTTGAGTTTAGATTACTGCTCTGAGATATGGGTTAAAGTTATCTGTTTCCTCTTTAGTCTTTTTCTCAACTTTACAATATGAAGTTATGTGAGCACAATATATTGGTCTGTTGGAGTTTACTAATGTGAGCAGTGTAAGAAGTCTGCTTTATATCTGTAAAAGAAGGAACTTTTAGTTTACATTACATAATGGTACATGCTTGCAAAGTATGGACTTTACTGTGTTAATTTATTTTGCACTTTAATTTAATAATTGGCAGATGCATAAACATGCTCAAAGAGCACATTCTTAACAAAGTAAATATCCTTTTCAGGTTGGATAATTTCTCTTAATGTTCTAATTAAGGAGATCCATAGCACAAGCTTTAATGCACATTTATTACATGGTTTTGAGGTACCTACTCAGTATGTTAAGTAATCTGAATTATACTTTTTAATGGGTCACAGTTTCAGCATTTGCATTTTACATTTTTAATGGGTCACAGTCACACTGTATTAAGAACTTTTTTAGTTGAGTAACAAACTAATCTGGCTTTCATGCATTAAACAGAAGATTGGTGCTTTATATGTGGTGAAGTGTTAAAGCTCTTTACTGGAATTACTTTAGTTTTTCACCAGCTTGAAAAACAAATGATATCAGAGAGGATTTCATAACAGATGTACATAACTATGTACTAAATTAGGAATAGGTATTCATATATTCTTTAATGAGTTCCTTCCCCCATGACAAAAATAAAAAGATATCCTGAAGCCTTATTAAATGTGATAATTGTGTCTAAATGTATTTTGTGATTCCACACCAAAAATTCTTTAAAAAAGTCATCTAGTCATCCCAGCTGGAGTAAATTTTGCAGACAAGGGATGAGTAGTATCTAATTGGCTTTTATGTTGTCAAACAGCTACAAAGAAATATTCTAAGATGGCTGTTTAAGGGAGTTATTTTGCAATACATATTAGGTCTTGTCCATGAGAGGCAGTGCCCATCTAACAAATAGTTACCAAATCATAAACCAAGGCAGAGGTGATATCATAAGAATTTGGGCCATGCTGGCACTGCCTTTTGTGTAGATAGGGCTTTAAATGTTATGCTGTAAGGATTACTGCTATGGTCACATCTTGTTCAAGCTACTGTCAACTTAACTTGAAGTTTCCAGGAAATGTTGTGCTCACTGTAGTATTGTGTTGTGAAATGTCTGCACATAGATGTCTCTGCAAGTGCTTAGCTGCAATGGAGACAATTAGACCTTGTAACCTCACCTGATTTCACTTTTTTTACTAGTGCTATCGATATTGATGCTGTTGTTATATTATAATTATAATTATTATACTATTATTGACAGTATTAACGGCAATATTAGATTCCAGAAATTATTTTTGAAAATCAAGGAAAAGGGTAAACAGGTGAGACAGGTAGTACTTGTAATTGGCTCATTGGTGCCTTAGTACCTGAGGAGCCATGTGTAAAAACAATTGATAAGTAAAACTCAGTGGGCATGGCCTGTTCATACATGACATCCTGGCAGCTTTGGGTTAATAGTTGCATGTATTTTAATTAAACATGGAAATAGTTTATTTAAGCTTATTGACATTTGAAGGTGCTACTTATACTATGGGTATGTGAAATATGATCCTTGAATGGAGCATTTGATAATTAATTGCTGGTTTTGCTCATGCTTTTGAATTACACATTTGCAACATATTTACCAGTAAATTTGCTTGAAAGTGAATCTCAAAATCAGGTATCAGGCAGTGAATTACTTTGGTTCTCTGTTTAGGCAATTATTTTTTTCAAGAGAAGAGAAGAGAAGCCAATGCTACTGATTATGCATGGGATAAATTTCAGGGGATTAAAACACCAATGTCACCCATAATGCTTATTGAAGGCAGTATGAAAATAGTTTCATTTTTTTGTCTTAGTTTAAGTGTAATGAAAACCTGCTGTGACATTTTATGTTTGAGTTTTCTTTCTCATCAGAAATAAGGCAAAGAATGTATATTTCTTTATTTTAAAATAATACTACACTGGCTTGCAAGTAGGTTGTTATTGATGATGTAGGGAGTACTTTGGGTCCAATACATTCATTCCATCAATACTTTCCTGACATTTCATAGTAGGAAATGGTGTTCACTAGTTGGTTATTACATTATGTGGCAGTAATGCTTTTTATATTCTAGAAGTGAAATCAAACCTTGGTAAAATATATATTGGTGATTATAATACAACTGTTGGTAGAACTCAAGAGATCACGTCATTTAGTACAAACCAGTAATGTTTGTAATTTAAATATTATTGCAGATGGGACAGCCCAAGAACTATTGAAACTTTTATGTACATCAATTTTGTTTACATTTTTGGACACATATGTTATTATTGCGGCTATCATTACTTTTTGTTTATATATCTATTTCAAGAGAAAGAAATAATTGATTTTTGTAAAATATTTGATGACAAGGAAGAAAAAATAATTTATTTATGATGATGGAATAATTATTTTATTATATTATACATGGACAAATTATAGTATTTATTTAAACCAATGTAACCATTACATTACTATTCATTAAAAAAAGCTTCAAATGTATAGTGTACTTATGAATGGTGTGCATTCTTGTGAAGTGACAAGCTAAATAATTTTGTAATATAGAATTATTTTCCTTTTTTGTTTGTTTCATATTATATTATCAGTGCTGAAGAGGAAGAAGAACTATATAGCATTTGAGGTTTGAAATTTGAAGTTGGTAAATGATAGTGCTGTCTATAGAATGATAAAACACTGCTACAGAAGGCTTGTTTGTAATTGGCTACAAATGTAATAACTTACATTCATTTCTGTCTGAAGGGAATCTTGTTATGGTTAGCTTTGGTTTAAGAACATACAAGTTTTTCATATGATTTACATTAATGAACTAATCTTCATGCTATTTATATGACTTTGTAATTTGGATTTTGAAATAAATGAAAAGAAGAGTACGAGTCTTTTTATCATTGTGGATGGTGGGAAAGTTACTGCATATATGATTTCCTGTTTGTTTTCCAAAAAGTTATGATGGAAATATAGTACTGGGAATCAGTTAATTTTTTGATTATTGCTTCCCCATGTTTCCCGTTTTTGTAATCATTTCTTGTTTTTCCCTTCTTTTTTTCTCCTCTCTACTCTTTATCTATTCTATTGTCTCTACTCCTATCCCATGTCAATCTAACTACTCATGAAAGAGTGAATTGTCTTTTTAGCCCTCATTTACAATCGTTTATTTTTTTCTTTTCTCCTGTTCTCTCTTCTCCCTACTTTCTACTTTTTTGTCCCCTCAACTCCTAACCCTTCTCAATCTAACTACTTGTCAAGTACTGCAACAAGGAAAGAAAGAAACATTCACACATGCTCTGAGATTGCCTGTAGCTTGAAATCCCTTGAGTATCATAATCATCCTTAGAATTATGAAACCTAGATTCCTTGGCATTCTTGTGAATACACAACATGCAAGTCTTTTAACCCATTGGCCGCGGTATTTGGCATAACCATCTGAGCACATGGGAATTGCAAAGTTCTTGATATATGTTTATGTCTATTGTAGAAACTTCTTTTCTTGTGTATTACCTACAAAGTATATAACAATCTTCTAGGAGAAGTATTTAGTCTTTTCTTGTCCAGTCCCCCTTTTTACACATTAAAGATTGTAAGATGCCACCGCCTAAAAGTTGAAAATGTGAAAATATGCAATAGATGTAATTAATCATTATCATTAGTAATAACAAAGTATCAGTATCATTAATACCTAGTAGTAACTTACACAGTTTTATATTAAAACGCACATTAGCGAGCTAAGATCCACACGGAATTGGAATATTACCGGAATAACTTATTAAAGTTTCTTAAAGGACATGTTAGATGGCCTTCAGTGGTGAAATATCTTATTGTTATTCCATATTTCCGGTTGTTGTTCACCTTTGCGAGAGAGAGGAACTGATGAATCTTGAAATATCTTTTCTCATGAATAATCCTTACAATTTCTGAGCTGCAAAATGGTCAGGCAGAACGTGTGGAAGGATGACATTGCTAGATTAGTTTGCCAGCTTTAATGTAGAAAATTCTCTTTGTGTGTTTTGATGCAGCATTTGTTCGTTGTACAGCTACACATTGTAGGTAAATAAAAACGATGATCGTCTTCTATGAGAAAATACTAAAATTGACGCGAACTTAACGTAAAGCTGTCTCCCTTGCAGGCTCTGTAGGGAGTATATATAGTTTTAAAATATGTTATACGCAAAACAAACACATTTGCGACCTAGTTTCACTTGGATTGCGACCTTGCTCTATATATTTCGAACAGATGGGAAAGATACGAAAGAGGAGAATCAATCCCTGTATTTGGGAGGTATTATTGTACCGTGTGTGTGTGTGTGTGTGTGTGTGTGTGTGTGTGTGTGTGTGTGTGTGTGTGTGTGTGTGTGTGTGTGTGTGTGTGTGTGTGTGTGTGTGTGTGTGTGTGTGCGTGTCTGGTGCGTGTCTGCGTGCGTGCGTGTTGTGCGTGTGTGTGCGTGTTGTTTGTTTGTTTGTTTGTTTGTGTGTGTGTGTGTGTGTGTGTGTGTGTGTGTGTGTGTGTGTGTGTGTGTGTGTGTGTGTGTGTGTGTGTGTGTGTGTGTGTGTGTGTGTGTGTGTGTGTGTGGTGTGTGTGTGTGTGTGTGTGTGTGTGTGTGTGTGGTGTGTGTGTGTGTGTGTGTGTGTGTGTGTGTGTGTGTGTGTGTGTGTGTGGTGTGTGTGTGTGTGTGTGTGTGTGTGTGTGTGGTGTGTGTGTGTGTGTGTGTGTGTGTGTGTGTGTGTGTGTGTGTGCTGTGTGTGCGCCTGTGAATGTCTCGTGTTTTGTGCATGTGTGCACTTTGCGAGTTTTCTTAAATTTAAACTGATGTGTAAACGTTATTAACTCATAATTAAAACATGAATAATAATACCTTTGGTCACTGATTCAAAATCCAGACCTGAAACGTGTTGCTTCCTGGTGAATGCACGTCTGGTACCATTATATCCGGGGCAGCAAAGCAAAGCAAGGCATTTCTATATATAAATGTGTCTCACGAAACTAAGAAGACGATGAACAAGCAATACCTTCAGTCAATTTAAAACAACTCGGAAGATAAATTTTGGAACTGCTCCAGGTTAATTTATGCCATTCAAGATATCGATAATGCCACTTTGATTAAATTTGACCGAATGTAATTTCCTAACAACAGGAAGATGACAGTTCCTGCGTCAGTTTTCACAAAGGATCATGGTATGTACAGATCTTCTCTGTTGAGCTGCCAAAAGCAGGCAGTGCTAAATCGAGCACAGAGGCGAGGGAACTCATAAAGGCTGCAGTGACTTACAAAAATGAGATTACACAAAGAATTATATTACCCGTTTCTCATTTCAATTTTAGTTAATGATTTTGAGCTAGCAATAATTGTCAGCCTCCTTATCAAGTATCTTTAACCAGTGGTTGGAAGAACAAGCCTTTGTATGATTTATGCAAAATGCAATATGCGGCATTTGTTACGGTTTCACATATCATGATGTTTTTTGTAAAGAAATAATCACTTCTTTCGACCGTCCACGCGCTCGTGGCGTGCAACTCGCCTCTGGCAGTATGCACCCTGTGATTACTCGGACTAATTTCCAAAGTGCCGGAAAAAATGAAAATAATTATCTGCTAAAATCTCGGGATCGTTTTCTTTCATTTGGTCACTAATCTGTCCAAATAAACTACTTAAATTGCAACGCAATGGTAGATATAAATCGTCTCCTTTACCATTTGACCAAACGAACGTGAAATATTGATATATATTTCAGAATGATTACAGTTACATAAACGACAGCGAAAACAATGACTATCGCCGATCATCATTTAACTCTCAAAGATCTCTTCATCTAAAGAATTAAGAGTATGTACAATTCTAGCCAAGGAGCAGATTAACAGATCACCCAAGCTCCGTCATGTTATAGCATGTGATTCGGTGATCCGTGCGTAAGCTTCTGATCCATATATGACTTATTCCCGGTGAAGATCTATGAACTGACGCTGTATCGAACACTTCTTGTCAGGTCACTTCATGAACACAGTATTGGTAAACTGAGGCATATAGGACTTAACCATGAAGATTGGCGGGCATTTTAGTTTCCCACCATTAGTCTTTATAACGAATACTTATTAATGAGGGGGCACATTTATAGTAGCAGAAAACATTAGTGTGTTTGTAAACATGCTATCCCTGCGAATGGATATACAGGCATCTATGGTACCTCAAGACATGTAGCTTACCCATGCCATTCTTTACACTCGGGTCATGTTCGTCATGCTCAAAGTCGCCAAAGAAGTTACAAAAGGAACTGTTTCTTTCTTCTTCAACTCTGAGATGCAGGGAACGTGCATCAGCAATGAAGAAGAAGGTAAACAAGATTGAGTTCATTTACCTATGCAAAATAGTAGTGATTTGTCATCTAAGCCACGCCACTGGCCAATTCCTCGTCTGACACAACTTCAACATATGATGATTATGAGACAAATCAGTGGTTAGAAGAATGGAAAAACTAATTTTTCAATTACATGAAAATTAAAATCTTTTTCTAATTTTTAGCCCGGATGTGGTTATGGAATGTACAAAATTATACGAAGGGAAGAACAAGAACTCAAACGAACCTACCACTGCAAAGCATAACTATAATTATGCCCTAAAGAAGCAATGCAGCGAAAAGGCCTTCGAGATTGTCGCGTTTTCTTATTCTCTTCGTTTTATTTACATGGTCCAAAATAAAATCGTCTGACATTAGGAAACCCAAAACGTAGATATTCAGATGGTTCTACCACCACGAATGATGACACTGTGTTACTTGTCATATTTCCTTATTTTTAGTAGAAGCGGTTTTGAGTATGAATCAATAAACCTTGAGGATCACTGTAGGCCTACGACCCACTTATTCAGTATGACTTGACAAATGAACATATTTTCGCAACTGAAAGACAGCAGGTTGAGCCAGTTTCCAAACCTGAGAATCATGATATGAGCAGGATAAGTCTCAGTTCAGTTTGATGAAATCAGGTAGTGTAGTGTGATTAGACGGAACCGAGAAAATTCGTTAATAAATATACAAAATGCATTATCTTTTTGACGAACATCCCTGGGCCACCAGCTACCTTAACCGTCAGTATTATTAATACTGTACCTACGGTCGGGAAATAGACCGAAAGACTATATTCTACATTATTCGACCATAAGTAATTTCAGAAATGGAAAATGACAAAGTGTTGCGTGGCATTGATAGTAATGATAAAAAGTGCTCGATATTAAGGGCATTTACCAAAACAAACAAACAAACAAACAAACAAAAATGCAAAAAAGGGAAAAGGAAAAAATCACGAAAAAAATAAGAATGGGAAATTAGGTGAGATTAGTCTAAGTGACTCGTTGGTGTTTAAACGCTTGTGGAGCCATCTGTTAGTCAACATTTACAAAGCAAAAACTACGATGGATAGCACTACCGTGCATGTACTGTACCCGGCGACATTCGGTTATTAGCCATATCCATCGTCTATTTAACCTTGAAAAAAAAAAAAAAAATCCATGCAAGGCATAAAAACCTATGATGGTTAAGACATAATAAAAATAATCATGTGAAAATATGAAAAAAACCAAAACAATTATAGCTGTGCTGTAAGAATTACTGCCTGTCATTACGCACGTACACATACATAAGATATATATATATATATATATATATAATATATATATATATATATATATATATATATATATATATATACAATAAATATATATATATATATATGCACAACTTTACGCTCACACCTCGATGAATATTGTTAGGTTACTGCAAACTTACTGCAACGCGATGTGCCAAGATTCCGTGGGATTTAAACGGGATTTACTGTGAAACCACACCGTCCGGACACGTGAGCAAGGCGTGATCAGTGCCTCGT